TAACAGTGCTCAACCTCACAACCGGAAAACCACATCGCACTCGCACCGTCGACTTTGTGCCATACATTCCACACCAAGACCCCGTTCGCACCTCCTTCCACAACCAACCCACCGCCCGCCGCTGCACAGCTCGCCGCCACACTCCAACAAATATTGTTGCCACTACCCCAGCCCCAACTTCTCACAAGCAAGCAAAATGCTACCCCGATGCACAAAAGTGGGCGGCCGCGCTTGATTTGGAACTCGACAAACTCGATAACGCAAAAGTCGTCGGCTGGATACCAAACTACCGCCTTCCGAAACATGCCAAACTCATACCTCTCCTTACGAAATACAGATACAAACGAACACCATCCGGAATCTTGTTAGAACGGAAAGCCAGATGCACTGCGCGCGGTGACTGCATGGTCTCAAAAGTGCACTTCTATCCCGCTCATACCGCCGCACACACCGCTGATAGGGCTACAATTCGTCTGCTTCTCGCGCTATCCGCTGCCCATGGCCTTCACTTGGACCATTTGGACATTAAATCTGCTTTTGTCCAAGAGAAATACGGCTTCAAAAAGCCTGTATATCTTAGGCAACACCCTCCATTTGACAGCTCAATGGCTCACTCTGGCTCCAAAGCTGGGATCCTTATCAAGAATATATACGGAACCCCATCAGGGGGATTCTACTACCTTCGCGGTGCAGTGGAGTGGCTGGATCTAATTGGCTTCTGGCAATCTCAAGACGACCCTTGCCTCTTTCGCTTCCAACACACCGCCAATGAATACATCATTATAGCACTCACCATAGATGACTTCCTCGTCACCGCCACCTCACGCCACCTCTTAGATTGGCTTGCCACCGCCCTCGCGGTCAAATATCCTGGCAACGTCAAACGCTTGGGATTCCCGTCCTCATACCTCGGATGGACAATTGAAAAACAGACAGACGGCGGCATCAAGATATCCCAGCCAAATTATGGGGCAAAGGCTGTATCTATGATGCGCATGACAAAATGTAACAGCCGCAATTCGCCACACGTGGATGGAGCGCAGTATCACGGGCCTTGTGAGGAGGACAAGCACATCCCAAAACAGGAAGGAAAGTACCAAGAAGTGTTGGGGGAGCTTCGGTATCTCACCGACTGTACAAGACCGGACCTCACGTTCGCAGTCAATCGCCTCAGCTGCGCAGCCCACGATCCGACGCAACGACATTGGAACATTTTAAAAAACTTGCTACGCTACATCCAAAGTACTCGGAATCTCGGCCTCGTGTACAGTCCTGTGAAACAAGAAAACCGTTATCATTTCAAGACGTACGCTGATGCGGACTACGCTGGTCATACAAAAAAACGCAAGTCGATATCCGGCGAAACTCACTTCTACAACAACACGCCAGTAGCATGGGGTTCTCAAAAGCAGAAAGTCCAGGCCCTGTCCACTTGCCACGCTGAATATATATCCGGATATTCCCCCATACAGTATACACAAGGGTTTTGCAGGCTGTTTCACTTCCTCCGCCGGCCACAGAGATGTGTACCCGTCTACATGGACAACCTCTCTGCCATCAAGGTCTCTCAGAAGACCGCTTCTACAGAACGCCGCAAATTCATAGACATCAAGCATCACTATCTGAGAGAACATATCAAACAGAATCACATCACCCTTCTGCACGTACCAACGCGCCATATGCTTGCAGACATCATGACAAAACCGCTGAGGAAACAGCTGTTTACGAACCTTCGCGACCGACTCAACATGCTCTGATGGCTTGCTCCGTACCACCATTGCACGAGGCGTGTCATCAGGAAGTTGCCGATTTGCAATGGCGGTAATCCACATATCATGCGCTTGTTGAGCCGGCTGCCCTGCCATCAGGAATAGAGACCATTGTGCTTACACAGTAGCCCTGCAATGCTATGTGATAGACTTGACTAAAAGGTCCAGCCGTCGTCTCCTTGAGTCGACGACGGCTAGACGTCTTACTCTCACAGATCATAGCGAGCACTGGATACGGTATGTCCAGTATGATACTGGACATACCGTCGTATCCAGTGCTCGCTCCTGCGGCTGGAAGCAACGTCTCTTTTCATCCATTGCTATCGAAGTGGATTAACTATATTTAAAGACAGGGCGGTGTTCTCGCAGTGATGTACCTTCGAAGGTACTAGCCATATATCCTATTTTAAATGGCAAGGGCCTCCGTCTGACCAACTTGCTACAGTAAGCAACGTCTTTTCCACCATACTATAGTATCCATGTGCCAACCCTAATCCCCTAATCCCCTAATCCTCACCTATCAGACTTATCGCACACACCTCTCCTTTCCCTCTTTCTGTGTGCTACAGTCCACAGCACTTGTTGTGCGACAGACTGCTGTCAACCGACTGCTGTGCGACAGACTGCTGTCAACCAACTGCTGTCGAGCTGACTGCTGTCGAGCCGACCGCTGTCGAGCATCTGCTTCTCCAGCCTCATCAATTTACGGACACATTTATCAAAACGAGCCGCCGAATTTCGATTCTATCTTCCCTGCCCAAATCATGAGTAGCGCTGCGAAACTTGCCTATCAACATCTCGTACTCCTCTTCCGCGTCCGCTCAAACCCTCAGTAACATTCCCCTCCACCATTGCCTCTTCGCAATGTCCACCCACCTCCACCCACCTCCACCCACTTCCACCCACCCCCCTTCTTTCGTATCATCTCCCACACCATCCCCAACCATGGTCCAACTTCCCTTCAGCACCCCCGTCGCCAACGTCGTCCGCTTTCTCGTCATCGAGTATCTCATCATCAAGCTTCTCCACTACTGTATCGAAGGCTTATCCTCCCTCATCGCCAAAAACCGTCTCCGACGCGGCGAAAACGTCCAAATCGCCGACGGACTAATCACATCCTCCCACGTCCCCTATCGCCTTCGCGAGCGCAAACTTTTCCACTTTTCCGATGGGTTATCGTCATCCTCCTCAACGCCCTCCTTATTTCTGTAGAGTTTGGCTTTTCCAGCACTCAGGAGCTCAAGAACCTTCCCCCTCGAAATAACTACCTCCCAGGAGATGCCCCCACCCACTCTGACCGCCTCCCGTTCAATGCAAGGCGTCTCGCCCCGCCAATGGCTCGACAGGCTTGAGCGCTTGCACACCGCCTGCGTTCAAAGGCAAGAGAAACACCGCCTTCGCATTTATGCACCTGCAGGCTTCATAACAGACGAGTTCGTCCGCAACGACTCGGCCTTGTTTTTCAGGGCCAAGCCCACATGTGCTGATGACACCGAGTTCAAGCCCAAACTTCCGGCAGTCCTTTTTGACGTGTCCTATTCGGGTTTGGACGACGTTGAGGAACCGTTCAGTTTTGCATTCGCCGACCTCACCGTCAATGAAATTCTCGATGTTAATCTCGGTTTTCCCGAGGACGATGTGGATGTGCAAGTCTCTGGCGAACTAGATTTGTCTCAGGGCGATTATAACCAGGGGGACTTTGTTAAATCCGTTTCCGGGGTGTGCACCGTGGACCGTAACGCTGACCTGTCAGATCCTGAAGATAGCCCACATGTGTATTGCTACCTCACTGACGGTCAGGACTACCGCTTCATGGTACCGGGATTCATGGGACTTACTACGTTTGGAGGAAAGCTGGGCGAGATAGAGGCTGGCGACCGTCTTCCAGTCAGGGGCCAGGATGGGGTTTTCCGGGCAAAATTCCTTCCGGATCTCGATGATGACCGAGGCGAGGCCATGGACGGAGACCACCTGGCAGCGATCAAGACCTTTGCCGTTTCGTTTGGAACAAGGGGAAAGTTGACGTACGCAACGATGTCGTTAGCGCTCTCGCCGGCGATACGAACGTTTTGCGGGGCGACGCTGTATGGTATCACACAACTGGAGAGAAGGGACATTTTGAGGGTGGAGAGTCAAGAACCTGTTCGTGGACCTGAGAGGGCTGAGGTGAGTTCTTGGGCTTTGGTGGTGCTTTGCGTGCTGGTCGCCCTCACGGGAGCCGGAGGAGCAGCATTATCTTTGATGAAGAGGCGGACGAGGACGGAAGGGGTGCCCGTGATCTATAGTAGCTTGGCAGCAAAGATGATGGAGAGGTTGGACATCAAGGACCCAGCAGGGCTGACTTGCACGGCACTGGACGATGGAAGCGGGGGTCGGAGAGTGGCATTTGTGGAAGATATGGCTGCGGGCAAGGGAAGTAGTAGTAGCGAGGGCATGGGTAGTGACGAAGTGGCTTGAGGCTGTGAGTTGGTCAGCATGTAAATGTGAATATTACAGTACTTGCACCTCGACAGACTGCATATCGATAGCATCGAGAGCAATAGCAGATATTGTAGAGTCTGCTGCAAGGGTACGTTTATGGGTCTTCAGGCGAAGACTGATGTGCTCGCAATTGCGGGCAGCGATGGTTGCGGGCAGCGATGATTAGACCAAGATATGGTGCATTTGTCGCAGTGCTTTGGAATGGCGGGATGTCGCGCACCCCTCCATCCATCCGCCTTCCCAGACAACATTTACCGTACCACATTTGCTCTTGTGGTGACAACGCTGGCATCCAGCTCCCATCTCCGGGTGGCGTATCTCCAACTCTCAGTCCATTGGTTACGCATTCTATCCTGATTGACCTTTCACCCGCCGCCCGATGCCCGCTCTGTATTTATATGTCTTGCTCACCATCGTCCCTCACCTTCCTCCTCCCGCCTTCCTCCTCCCGCCTTCCTCCTCCCGCTTTCTTTCTCCAGCTTCCTCCTCCAACCCCAACTCCCCATCTCTCTTTCTCAGAATGTCTACCCCACATATCAGCCTTGCCGGCTTTGCTGCCAACACCCCTTTCCCCTCATTTACCTCCGCTCGCCCGCAAACCTTGACCGTTCTCGACCGCCTTGCCGCCGCCGCGGAGAGAACCGTCAAGCATTCCAAAAAGAAGATCTCACACAAGCAGCAAATGGCCGTCATCCACGCAGGGCGGCGATAGTCTTCTCATCTGTCCGTTTTTATTTTCCCCCGGTAAAGATGGAGGTGTGCATTCGTCACGGGACGCGGTCTTCCAAGGGGGAAACGCATCCGTTGTCGAGTCCTGAAGCGTTGAGCGCTGCGGCAACTCTCCGTGTCTATTCCCGGCAGCTTCGTCCACTTAGTCGAACAATTAGTAGTTGCATCTACCATAGAGCAGCCAAGGGCACGCTTTTCTCATTCTAGTTGTGCGTCATACAGCAGTGCTCATCCGGAGTTTTGATTCAAAATCATTTCCTGGCGTGCCACCATCGCCAATGTAAAACATACCACTCGCACCAGCCCACATTTCTCTCGCATTCCAACTGCCTCCATCCCGGTCATGTAGACCAGCTGCTCTCAGCCGTTACCCACGACCGACCTTCTGACCTTTTGTGATGGGCCTACCAGACCCTCCCGCTCCCGCCGTCGGCATGCGCAACGCCCTTGCTTCCACTCCAACTTCTTCCAACGTCTCCCAACTGGCCGCCACTTCCTATCATCTCTCCACACCAGACTCCGCCTTCGCCTTCCCCGCGTCCCATCTCCCCGTCAAAGCCCACGCCGCCGGCACCCAGGACCTCTTCGCCACCATTCTCAACCAATTCCTAATATTCACAGACGCCTCTGCAAAAATCACCGTGTCCTGCCCGACCCGACTTCACGTCGAACCCACAGATCTATCCGTCACTCGACTGTTAGATGGCACAGCCATGGCCGCTGTCGCTGGATTCGACGGCGTTTTCGTGTCCTGCCTTACCAGTCGAAAGGCAACTGCCCTACAACTCCTACTCGGATCCGACAGCCACCCTTGCGTCGCCGTCGATGTCTCTGAGAGAGGCGCCGTCGCTGTAGGTTCCATGGCAGGCCAGATCGCGTTGTGGGATAGCTTGGATGCGGATGCTTCTGTTGTGATTGGTGTGCCAGATGGCATCGACTTATGTGACCGTCTCACGCAAATACGGTTCACGAGGGATGGAGACATTATCGTCGCATGGTGGAGCGGGTTGCTTATAAGATACACGTTTTATAAGAACAAGGCGAGTTGTGTTTGGAAGTTGACGAGTGCGCAGTGGAGGGGGAGGGAGTTTTGCACGTTTTCGGGGACATTTTTTGCGTTTGCGACGGACGGGAATGGTGAGCGAGCCGTCGTAACTCGTGGTGATGGTGTTATTTACTATGTGCATCTTGCGACGGGGGAGAGCAGTAAACGAGTACTAAGTCTTTCGCAGAGAAAGGTTGTTGTGAAGGGGTTGTGCACCTGTGCTCAAGGTACTTTCCTCTGGCTGCGTGATTCTCGAAGGCTTTTTCGAATCAAATGGCCAGATAGGGAGCATGAAGCTTCGTCCTCCGCGCTGAACGGAATCCCCTGATATTAGAACGTGGCTCCTAAAGCCGGTGACGAGGGAACGGAGTGTTCTCAACTCTCAGGCACACTATATTCAAGGCTAGTGGTGGGGCTGGGCTACCTTCGGACTAGCAAGCGTTTTTTCGGAGGGCGTAATGTGACCGCGATACGTTGGAAGCTTCGAACAATACCACGATCACCGCGATGTGGCATGACGTGTGGGGGTGCTTTGGTCAGGCTTCGAAGGAACGCCCCGACTTTGGCTCGCGTTGGATGTCATGTGATCAGGGCCGTGAGTTGGGTGGGTGCTATGCCGCAATGACTCGCACAAGACCGTCCAAGGACCGTCCGTGCCATGTCTGAGCAGGACCGGCGTGTGGTCAACCCAACTCACACTATGGGCCCGCCAATTACGGTAAGGTCACAGTGGGCAATTTGCCCTGTGAGATTGCATTAGAAGTGCAGTCGACATCTCCCGAATAGTGCTACATCCCGCAGGTGCACATGCCAGTGTACTATTGAAATATTACATTGATTTCTGTACAGTATTGGTTTGGATACAAGGGTGGTGTCTTGATTTTCTGTACAGTTTCATTGCAGCTTTCTGTTGTCTCATCTCTTATTACTTCTCACCCAGGAATGTGGTGCAGATTGTGTTCCCAATCACCTTTTTGAAAGTGGCGTTTTCGTTTCCAAGTTTTATGACATGCGATTTTAAGGTGGTTTGAGAAAGCTTTTTTTCCAGATATTTCTAAAGACAAACTTCAAGAACATGAAGTTCTCACTAATCTCTTTCCTTCCACATGTCAAAAGTCGAATAGGGTGGCGAGGGGATCTTTCTCCCTCTTGTCGAGAAAGCACAAGGCGAGAAAAGGATGTCCAAACGTGACTTCATGAGGACAACGGTCGGATAGACACAAGACACGAACTCCCCAGCCCACCCTCCCACACCTTTCAACAAGCGCTGATAGTGAGCTGGCGACCACCAGGAATACAATACGTCTAGCTGAACAGAGAATTGTCGACTCGCACATCTGTTTCATGCGCTGGACAGCCCTGTCCACTGCAGCCGCAGATTGGCTACAGTATGTAGTACCAACGGTACCTTGGTAGTGTGAATAGTGTTGAAAAAACAAGATTACGCTTTAATACCTAAAGATCTCGGCTTAGAAATGTTTACCGTTCCTTGAATTCCGGGATGATTGCCCCCGTCTTTCGCTGTCCCCAATTGGTGTGGACATAAACGTTGATACAACGGCCAGAGCAGCGCAGTGGCGCGTGTTTCCATGCCACCTCGGGCCGCTATCCTAGCGACCCACTTCGGCGGATGAGGACCACATTCGCCTTGATTTGGGGCGCGCGTCCATGACCCACCTGATTTCGAGTTCTGCTTTGGTAAGCTTCAAAATGAGGGGTCATTTCCACGATGAGAGGGCGTGAGTAGCGACGGGAGATCGCGTTATTTTACCCAGCGTGTGTGTGAAAAACATTCTCGAATGGTTAATCCATACAAGAAAGAGTAGGGAGAGGACACAATCAGTGATGACTTGATGACTGAGCAGCGAAGCAGAGGGTGGGATGGTCGGAGAACAAGCGACGAATTGAGGAAGAGAGAAGAGTGGTGGGAGAGTTTTGACGTGCCTCTCTTATATAGCCCTGTTTTCGGACAGTGGCCGAAATTCCATTTCTGCCAAGTTCCATGACGCCAATGAAGAATCATTTCCAAGTCATAGTGGGGGTGCCAATCCATAGCGTGGGACTTGGTGCTGATTATTTTTCTGTCAATTTTTCATTGCGAGAGTGAAGAATCAGCACCAAGTCATACTGTGACTTGGTGCTGATTTTTTTGTTTTGCCAAGTTTTCATGACGCGAATGAAGATTCATTCGCCAAATCATGGCCTGTAGATTGGCGCTGACTTGTCGCCAAGTCATCCTGACTTGGCTTTGTACGGCTGAAATGGTCCACTTGTTTTCCACTTTTTGCTGAGTTGTCGTGCGGTCCAACCGAAAAGCCCCCTTCTCCAAATCCACCTTTCAATTGCCAATGAATGCACTGAATAGTGTTGAGGAAAATCCATAGGGAGTAGTCGAGATTTCGGACAGATGTCCGAAAAAGAAGACGGAATCTCCGCACGGCTGTACGCGAGCGTCGAGATAAGATTCTTCCATTGTGCGAGCGACACTCCAATCTCACCAGATGCGAATGCGGTAGGAAGGGACTCCTATTGCAGCGCATTCCGATGCGGCACCCATGCGAAGCGAATGTGCGGACCACAACACCTGCGGAGGTGGAGTGAGGCCAGCTTGAGACAGGCAAGCTTGGAGCCAACGTGAGATGCTTGCCGATGACGGTGTGAGCCGTTGGCCCGGGAGGGTCCAATAGTAGCGACTTGTGGAGAGGGTGTTCCGGCGGTAACGGTCGTACCGTAAGACCAAGTCGATGAGCGATGGCTTGTCTGGAGATAGCCTAGTGTAGGATAGGGTATGTGCCACGCGAGACCGATTTTTCCGTAAAGCAATTGCCAAGTCAATTGATTGTTCCGAAACTTGAATGTTGTCCATGCGAAGCGCAGCGCCAGCCTCCCCCCTGTTGAACAAGACTTAGGAAACCAGAAAAGCAGTAGCGTTGCAAATCAGCTGACGGTTGAGAGCAGGAGCAGCCATAGCAGCATCGAAGATTTTCTTGGCTATGGTGCTCGGGAGGGCCCGTCGTTCCTTGTGTGCGTCAGGGCCGTTTTCGGCGCGGCAATCCAGGTCAGATTGTTGGTAGGCGTCCAACGCGAGCTAGATGAGTGGGGTGTATTCCACGGGCAACTTCACTCGTTTGTGGGACGTTACCACTGCTGAGATGTAATTCTTGACTGATCCGCCAGCAATCGTGCCTGAGTCGAAGAGCCAACTGAGGTACCTGAGCAAAGATCCTTCGTCAGCAGTCCATGTGTCGATCCTTTCCGGAGTACAGAACCTAGACCACTTCTGCCAGAATCTCTCATTGCACTTCCGGGTGATAGGCGCCCAAGCGCGGTGACTTAGACCTGCGATAGTAGTCCCCCCGCCTGAGATTCCAACTACAGCGGCGCGCAGGACTGAGCCACGAAGAGAAAGAGCTACACTGCGGAGGCAAAACCGTGAAAAACAATAAAAAGTATTGTTTTTGGACGATAGTATTAAAGAAATAACGAAACGTTGTCCAAAAGCAATGTTTTTGACATGGAAAACATTACTATTATTGTCCAAGGACGGTAATTAGATTGCATTAATAACAGTACTATTGTATGTGTGGCGGCAATACATATAGACCTAAGAAACATTATCAATGTTGTCTATGAACGGTACATCGTCACTTTTTCTGAAACAACAGAAGTTTTGTTTATGAACATTCCAAATATTGTTTAAAAGCGAGGAAATGACTTGCAATCACAAAATTAACTCGTCAAATGTTAACGAGGCGGGTGACAGCATTTATGAGGTTTCCGAGGTGATTCTGATGCGGAAACGCAAGAGGCGAAAACTGGACTTGCTAAAAGCAATGCCTAGTGCCAATCGTCTCTAATTTACAGACGATGGTAAGGCCGTCAGAGCGTCTGACATGGGGAACGACAATGAAGACTCATCAGATGAGAAAGACCTTCATGGTATATCTGACTACGCAATGACCGTGTCATCCCGTTTGACCCAGAGTGTCGGCGCAGGGTGGGGTGCGTTGATGTCTTCACATGTGCGGCTTGTCGGGCCTCAACGCGTGATGGAGGGGTCCAAGCTGGAGGCTCGTGTTGATGGAGTGCCACTGGGTGTTGTGAAGAGGTTATCGTCCAACTGCGAGAAGCGAACAGGGGAGCAGTCTGAGAAGAGTGCTCCTGAGGTTTGCGTGATTGCGTATGGAGTACCGTGGAATGCGTCCCTGTATGACGATGGACAACCGCATCTGCTCACCATTCATTCAGCTTCGCAGC